GTTGAGGTCGAAAATTATGTGAAGTAGGACACGATTGAACAAGAAGTGAGATTGAGAAAGAAAAAGGAAGAGAGACGAGAGAGAGGAGAAGTGGGAAGAAAGAGGGAAGAAGAAGGAGAAGAAATATTTAATATTAGATTAATAATCGAGTCTTCTTACAATAAATGAAATTCTAAGCCATATATTTATACCGGAAATAAGTTAAGCTCAAATAAACTTCTAATAATCTTAAACATTATAAAAATATTCAAATAATCTAATCAAAACAAACAAAATTTAAATTAAATTCTACTTTAAAATTCTATATAAATTTTCTGGTGTTGTTCCAAGCAATGTTTGAATCTTAGATAAATGGAATGATGTTGGAACTAAGGATATTGTTGTTTCTCTATGCTGGATTCGAAAGGAACAAAAAATACTGTCGTATTTCCAATTGTTTGGTTAGTTTTTAGATTGTCGAAAGTAGGGTGTGATAATTTGAACGATAACTCGTAAAAGAAAAATCGAGAGATACGATTATTTATTCGTCAAGATAAATCACATATAACACTAATTTGAGTATAAAAGAAAGAAAAAGAAATACAGGCAAATCAGTCATGGCATCAATATTCTCTAAAGAATCAAGGAAAAGGTCAAGTAGAGGCTCCAACTTGCCATTTCTTCCACACTTGAGTAATGTAACTCAAAAACTAACAAATTCTTATTTACCTTTACTTTATTTGAACTTTAAGTTAAGCTTCTATTTCACGATTTATGAGCGTAATTATCGAATTACCTCATCTAAAAATTTAAACTTTTATAAATGGAATATTTCATTTAAAACGAAACATGTATCCTCAAATTCAAGCTAAGTTCTTTTCTTTTTTTCAAACCCCTGATACGTACACAATTTTTGAAGTAGGTAACAGTGAAACTTAAACCTACTACCTTTTGCCAATTTTGAACTCTCGGAATATTAAATTACTCTATGTTAAAGATTAAGTTGCTAGAGATGTGACGAATTTATTCATTTAAAGTTTGATTTCAATGACAATTAATTTTAGATACTAGTCCGACCATTATTAATGAAGAGAAAATTCCATTTGACAGGAAAATGAAACTAAAATCTTATTGTTAAAATGTCTAGTTCTATTTAGCACATATCGAAATGCATTTAGTTTAAGGTCATGCACCACAATTAAGATTAAGTTAATTATCACAAGCCAAGGACGGATTCAAGATCGAATTACAAGCCGGGCATTAACGTATAGCCGGATCCAGCCCCCTCCAGATCCGTCCCTGTCACAAGCATTCAATATATTTTAAGGTAAATTGTAGTGACTAATAGTCCAAAACTTTTACCCGAAGAGAAAAATGTTGAAGATATTCATTAATGAATAGTGTTAATTTTGGTCTAATTCCAAGGGAAAAAAAGCTAAATTTGTTTTTATTTTAAAATGAGAATGAGCTATTCGTTCTGATTTTTTATTTATTTTTTAGTTTTATCTTATTAAGTACATGATATTTTTTTTTTAGTAATAATGAGTAAATATGACAGTAATACCATTGTGTTCTATGTCAAGTAGATATCAACGCAAGTTTGTATTGGACAATACGAAAATAAATCTAAAAAGCTGTTGTTAATATATAAAATAAAAAATGCAAAAAGTAATTAAAAAATGCTCATAATTTCTATTTGTTTTTTTTAAATAATTAAAACAAATAAAAAAAATATCTTGTTGTTTCACTAATTTTATTATTTTTAGGCAACAATATTTAAAAATAAAATAAAAGTAACAAATCACTTTGACGTTGGTTTCGTTCTCAATATGTTGTGGCGTGACTATCAAAAGTTAGGAGATCAATTATTGATAAATGAAAAAACACTTCTTCGACCTGCGTTGTCTTTTAATGAAGTGCTACCTATACTTGAAAAATTTAGGATTTACTCTCACAAGTGGGACAATCACATGTTGAAGATAAAAATAAATATAGGATTTTAAAGATTAATTTGATTAAATTAATTTAATATTTTGATAATATTTTAGTTTATTAGAAGTTCATTTGAGTGTAACTTCTTTCCCTTACATGAAAACGACACCCTCTATATTTATCGCAGTTCTACTTCACATATAGAAGCAGAATGACCAGAAACTGGCCAGAACACTCACAGTAGGGGAGTCTTTTTTTTTTTTTTCCAATATTTTACTCACGTGGAAAAAGCAGAATGACTAGAAATCGGCCAGAACACTCACTGCAGGGGCTGGTTTTTTTTTTTTTTTTTCAATATTTTGCTCACACGACCCACCCCATGTGAGTGTTCTGGCCAGTTTCGATGGAGGATAATACTGTACAATTATTCATATATTTATTGACTGAGGTTTGAGGATGATCCGAAGGTGGAGTGGGTGAGGGTGGGGTGGGGTTTGGACAAGACATGTATAACAAAAGCTCAAAAGCCCTTTGTCCCGACTCCCGCGTGGTCTTCATCTGAGGTTAAGCATAGCAATTGTCACATCAAACACTTTAAGGAATGCAATGCTGTCATACAAACTATTTTGTCGATGTACGTACAGAATCATCACCTTTTCATTGTTTTAACTTTTTTAAATTAATTATTCTACCGACTATTTGAGATTTTTTTTTTTTTGTCCAAAATACATTTTAAAATAATATTTTCATAAAAATGTGTGATTCAAATAAAGAAGAGTTTTGAATTTGCGTATAATATTATTTTAATGAAAAACGTATCATTAAAAATAAAAAAATAAAAATATATTTTGAAAATAATAAGAACCAAACAAGAGCTAAATAATTTGATAATACATAAAATTAATTTCTCTTAACATTTGTTTCTTCTTATAAATAAATATGTTAGCTATTTGGGCATTATCATAGACGTTACTATAAGAGTGTGTTTGATTGACTTGAAAGATATATTTTAGAAAAGAATATTTTCCTTTTTTGAGGAAAACAAAAACCTCCCTCAAAGAAAATGTTTCCCTAAAAAAAATAATAATAAAAAAAATAAAAATTAGACATATTTTTAAAAGTTCAAAAATATTTTTCATGAAAAAAAATAGCAACCAAACACTTCAAATTAAGAATTTGAGTGAAAAGCTGACATTTTTCATGGAAAATAAATGTAATCAAATACACCATAAGTGTATTGCGTTCAAAGTGCACAACCAACAAAAAGGTAGTACACTCCAACGTATCGCCTCAATGTTGAGCAGTCCACCTCCAACTCTACGCTGAACCAAAAGTCCACGCAAAATATAAATATTCATACATGGACTTGAGGGGCTATTGTTACTCTTTTCACAAAGAGGCTCTAAATAATCTGCTAGCGTGGCAACTAGCTAAGCAAATCAATAAGGCCTGCACTCTACGTCACCCCCACACAGAAGCTTCGAGGTGCTAAGGTGAATTGATCAGTATACACATGTCCACCACACCGTCGAAGCGCCGATGCCATACACGTGGAAGTGGCATACAACGAAGTGGCACCTACTAGTGAGAAAGCCATGACGTCTCGTTCTTACTAAGTAGGAGATCTTTTATATAAAGATTTATTTAAAATAAAATTTTTTACATGATTGATTGATTTGATGTTTGTGCAGCAAACACCAAAGAGTTATATCATGAATCTACTTGTCAAGGACAGTAAATGGCTACCCCCTAGGAATGATTGATTGACACTTAGTAGAAGACACTTCGACCAGCAAATGAGGCAACATGCCCTGCCATCTAACGGTCTCAAATCCACTTCTTTCCCTATATACTAACACTTAATGTCATTTCGAAGGTAATGCAACTCCAATCAAATCAAATATAATTTCACTCCTCATATCACCATTATATTGATTTTCCAACGTTCCGACTACTGGAAGATCCCCTATCTTTCATATTGTCGATTGATTTGATTGTTAGAGTGCTCGCGACCGCCTCCACCGCCGCTGAAACTGACCACGAGTGAGTAACGATGTATTCTAGTGCGCAGGGAAGAGTCTACGTGGAGTTGCTAACTGTTGACCATGTGGGAGGTACATTTTCCGGGGTCAACAATAAATAATTATTTTATTTTCAACATTGACGCCAAAAAATAATTCATTTTAAATCTTATTTACTTCAAAAGTTTTAAGCTTAGCTGAATGTGCATTTATTGTTGTACAACATTTTACATCACACGAAGATAAAGTTGTAATCATACCAATTACACTATATGAAATCAACAATCTTCAATCAAAATGCGTTGTGTTAGATGAAATCCATTACTGGATCATGAGATAAAATATATTTGTGCACCTTTTTATTTTCTTCAATAATTCTATTTTTCCTTTTTTTTTTTCACTCTAAAATTATAGATGGTCATTAATATTTGGATTTTGCTACTTTTACATCAAAATTGTACATAAATGGTTACAAAATATGACGTGAATGAAAGGATTGACTATATTTTAAACTGACAAATGTTATAATGACATGTAACATTATGTAACCCATTATATAACATGTGATATACATGTAGCTCTCTTTGTTTAAAACTGAGAAGTTACATAGATAATAACATCGTTTTATGGCAAGAATACAAACTCAGGGGCACATACGAGTCGACTTCCAGTAGATAGAGAGCTAAGAATACACTACTACTACATACTATCTCATGTACCCTTTTCATTTTTCATACTAGATACTCAGTGGGCCAATCCTAATTGATTAGATTTTGGGTTGGGGAAATCAATGGTGGAGTTGAAAGATATCACACTCAATGTCGTCTGTGAAAGAGAATTTAAGATATGAAGTATGATGATGTGACTGCATGCCAAGTGGTTTGGGTCTAAAACTTTTCATATACCCAAACAAATTCTTGTCCAATTGTGAACCTCATAGACCTTCCTTCACATGCAACATCTATATAAACTCCCCAAAACCCCTTGTGTGTTATACATATTACATAATTCACTCGATCGGTTCATCCATCCATCCGTCATTTCATTTTGTTTCTTTCATCGATCAACATGCCTAGAGACAGAGACCCTCTTGTCGTTGGTAGAGTTATAGGGGATGTTTTGGATCCATTTACAAGGTCCATATCACTTGAGGTTACGTATGGTAATAGGGAAGTTAATAATGGATGGGATTTCAGACCTTCTCAGATTCTTAACCAGCCTAGGATTGATATTGGAGGTGATGACCTTCGTACTTTCTACACGCTTGTAAGTCTAATTTCTCCTATTACAACTCGTTTAAATATGTCCCAACAACGTAAGTTTTTAGATGAGACTATTAATATGGTATCGGGTTAGAACTCAATTTCTGCTTGCTCTTGGATTTGTATTTAAGTTTTCATGACATTATAGTACAGTGTGTTTGATCTTCTCCTTGTGCAGATTATGGTGGATCCCGATGCTCCAAGCCCAAGTGATCCCCACCTCAGAGAATACTTGCACTGGTGAGAATAAAGTACTGGAGAAGGAAGATCTTTTTTTTTTTTCTTTCTTTCTAATTATTCTTGTTTTCTATTTGAGTAATGATATTCATTCTTACTGGAGTTGAATTACGATCTATGTGGCAATTACATAGTATTAAATGATAGAATTCAACCTCAGTGGGAATGAATAGAAAGTACAATGACCATATTCCCATCTGGGAATGTTATTCGATATAACAAAAAAATATGTTTTTTTGTATAAAACGATAAAGTTTTGAAAAGTTAAACCACTTATGTTTCATTTATATTTTTAACCTAAAAAACCAATATATGAAACCTTCGTTTTTAATAAACAAATTCGTCGGCTAACTTCTACATGTTTTATAAAGTGAAGACTCAACACATTCTTATTTTCATTCTCATTCTTCTACTCATTTTTAACCACACATTTTTTGATAAAATAATATTTTCCATCACATCAATAACTTTTCATTCTTTTTTAACCACATATTCACCCTCAAGTCACAAAAAAAAATACATTATTTCCATTTTAACGTGCATCAAACACATTCTAAGAACGGTGGTCATATGTCAAAAATTTTAAGAGATAATCCTTGTCCTCTCATGTGAAGACCAGATTCACTTTATGATCTTACAATCTTTTGACTGATAAATTGACAAAACGATTACTCATTTCACATCTGGTTTGCTTTTACCTTGACAGCATGCTGATGACGTACTTAGCAATACAAAAATTTCTCTAATTTTTCCTAACAAAGTCACAGATTAATGTCGCTACTCATTTTACAGAAGGTTAATTTCCATAGTATAGGAAGCCTTTTCAGTTGTCTTCTTGTGCAATTATCAACAAAATATATGAAAAAGGAAAAAGAAAAAAGAAGGGAGTAATGTCCATTGAAATAAAGCAAAGAAACATGGATTCATAAACACGCATATTAGTTTGTATTAAATATTTCGAGTTTTATCTTAAAAGATCGACTTTATTGATAACTCAAACCCTATTTGTAGGTTGGTGACTGATATTCCAGCAACCACTGGGGCTAGCTTTGGTAAGTAGTCGAATATATATTTTATGGGTTTCAATTTTCTTTTTCTTAGCTCATGTTTGGTGTAGCTAAAAAAAATTAATAAAGATTTAAATCAAAGTTAAACCTTGTTTGTTTCTCATAAAAATGTAATTTTGTACCGTTGCAGCAGTCTATCAGCCGCAATTTTGGAAAATTTTGTCTTTGTGTGTGATCCGCCGCTTTTGAACAAAACGGTCAAAAAAATGCATTTTCTTGTTGAGTTAATGGGAAACAAACTGGTTGTTAATAATTTTTTTTTTTTACTGCACATTTCATGGAATTCATAATTTTTCAACCACATGCTAAATATTTTTTTATCAAAATTTACTAAAAAGTGTGTGTAATTTAAACATTCGTGACAAACTTAAACACGGTCCATGATGTCCTTTTCTTCATGTCTCAATTTCAACATCCAAAGTCATCTTTGGTGGAGAGTATGTTCTTCCTTTTACCACTCGAAGCGCCTTTTTGATGTCTTCCTTACATCAAATAACGTACGTGTCGATCCTCAAAGAGTTCTCGTAATGACTTCTTAACTTTATCTATTGCTTTAATTTAGACCACCAGCTCAAAAGTCACTTTTTCGCCCCCATCACCTGTCTATTCTGATGCACGCACAACTATACTGTATGGTGGCGCAGGGCAAGAGATTGTTTGTTATGAGAGTCCACGGCCATCAATGGGTATCCACCGTTTTGTTTTCGTGTTATTCCGGCAGTTGGGCCGCCAGACGGTGTATGCTCCGGGGTGGCGCCAGAACTTCAACACCAGGGACTTTGCGGAGCTCTACAATCTTGGTTTGCCAGTCGCCGCCGTATATTTTAACTGTCAAAGGGAGAGTGGCACTGGTGGACGAAGGCAATGAAGTGGAGAAATATATATTTAGCTTGTTTGGGAGGGATTTTAATCCAATTAAAATTGAAAATATAACCGTTATTGGTTCTCACTCGTCTAATAAAAGTCAACAATAACGACTAATTTTTCAATTTTAATCTCTACCAAACAAGCTCTATAAAAAAAATATTATATATTTATAGATAGAATTGATGGCAAAAAAAAATTAATATAGTTCCATCGACAAGGAAAATGACGAAAGAACATGTCAAAAAAAAAAGGGGGGGGTTGTTGTGTCAGAACTTGATTTGATGATTTTTGTTTTTGTTTTTGTTTTTCAAACTGGCCAACCGTGTATGGACGTGCGTTCCCTGAATTTGAGACTGGATTTAACTCTTGAGTGTGTAGCATTGTTAACTCTTTTGTGAGTCATATAGTTTGCTAAATGATAGGGGAATGGGATTCTTGTAAAAGGGTTTTGCAAGCTTGATTCATAGATACAAATATAGTACTAGGAATAAAATAAATACGAACAGTTCCTTAATATTAATATTTTTATTTTCTATATATTTTCTCTCCTTCTTACACCATTCAATCTCTACATTGTTGTGATTATAGCAAAATAGCACAAGATTTATGGTGAACCATATGAGCCAAAAACAAGGCTAATAAACCAATTAAATGAATAGTGGAAGTAAATGAGCACTTAGCTTGAAATAGAAAGAGCGTGGTGAAGTAATCTCATGGAAGATTTTTGGTGAAGATGTCTGCACTTTGTCGTTAAGAATTAACAATATCCGGTATGTAGCTTTTTTCACAATTTTCTCACGAACAAAGTGATAGTCAAATATTAGTTTCTATTTGACAATCATTATTTGGGTAAAATTGAGATTTAAATAATTATTTTTTGGAAAATGTGGTGGGAAAAAATTTAGATTTACATAAAAATATTTTATATTGTGATTATGTGGTTGAAAATGAGTACGTAGAAAAAAGAATTCTGAAATAATGGTTGTCAAATGGAGCTTAGCCCTTGTTTGAGCCACAATAAAATTTTCATTCTTATTTTTCTACTCATTTTCAATCACACATTCTCCATCAATATATTATTCCAAAATACATTCTTCCAAAATAATGTGACTCAAACACACCTTTAATGTGCAAGAACATTAAAGATTGAATTGCGTTACACGCATATAAGGAGTACTTTGTTGTCACATAATAGTTGAGATGATGGTAAGGGATTGCCAAGATCATAACGAAGATATTGACGCCTCGAAAGTTTAGAAGTTGTGAAAACGAAAGAGTGATATTCCGCTTTAACGGTAGGATGTGATAGTTAATGAAATTTGGAACCCTAAGAGGCTAAGACACTAGGTTGTGAGACTACAATAAGCTTTTTTGAGTGCTTATGAGAGCCTCTTCAATCTGCATCACATATGAAAAATAAAACTAAGCTCCTGTTTAGTGGAGATTATTAAAATATCAAATTTTTAGTAAATTTTGATAAAAGTTAAAGAAATGTGTGGTTGAAAAGTTGTGGATCCCATGAAATATGTGGTTAAAATCAATTATTAATTTTGACTTTGATAAAAATATAGATTTGAATTTTTATCAAACACGGGCATAAGAATAAATTGCATGTATAGTCTCCAACCTTAACAAAAATATTTGTTTTTGTCCTAAAACCACTTTCTCATTGCATTTTTTCCCTCAACCTTTAACAAATGCAAACTAAATCCCTGCACGGTTTCATCCATTTCAGGCGTTTCAGGTGAGCTACACATTCCTTGTTAATGAATGTGGCAAAATAATCCAGCCTCTTAAACCCATTTTATATAAATAATAACAAAAAAGTCAAAGAGAAAAAAAATGTATAGCTTAATTTTCTCTTATATGTCAAAATTTAAAACAAGAAACAACAACTTTGAATCTTAACTTTGAGAGCCGATTTTTATGAAGAGAGAAAAAAAAAAAATTATAGGATGAATCCTAAAGTTTTGAATTTAAAGTTACTATAAATTCAGTAACTTTTATTTTAAAATCCTAACTTAGGACAATGAGTTGTTCCGACTTGGATTAGGTATTTTAAAACTTCGTAAATAAATTATATTTTGACAACTAACGTTTGACATGTGAAAAACTAGACATAATTTCGACTAGCCGAAACCAAATATGTAGAAAGTAGAAATGTAGAAAATGACCTTTTCATTGAAGCTAGAGTTTGAATCAGATTTCTATCTTTTAATTATTTGGCACATAATAAGGGTAAAATCAGTCTACAGGTACAGAAAATTGATACAGAATTGATATAGAAATTTGAAATAGACAACACAGATTCAAACACGCACACAGAGATGCACAGGAACTTGGGGAATAACTCGCAAGGGTAGGGAGCGTTGAAAGTTCGTCCAACCTTAGTACCTACTTTAGATACTGTTAAGGGATATAATCCCACATCGATTAAAGATGTTGACACAGACCAATTAATAAAAATCTTGGGCTACTCCTCTTAATAAGGTTGACCTTTTAAGATGGACCCCCAAGTCTTAATAGATACTATTAAGAAAGGGTAAATGTATTGGACAAAATTTAATGTATCAAATTGTTTACCCCCCTCTCACATGCACACGCGGGCCTCGCGTGAATAAAAAATCCCAAGATTCACCACTCCCATATTGTGAGTTGGTAAGAAAATTCGGTACATGTAGCATGATCCATTAAGGAATCTTGTAAGATGCGACAACATATCAACACCGCTCCAATTATCTAAGATTTTTCAAACATTACCCCGAAGCCATTTATAGTGAATCTTGTAAGTAGTCTAACTTTAATACTCGATTCGAGTATTTTCTCTGCCTTTTATATTTATCAGTCGTCGTATACTGTATCACACCCTTCTTTCAGCAATCTAAAACGAGTAATGATATTTGCAAGAATGATTGATAGACAACAGTCCATACGCCAAATCCAAAATTTGAAAACAGCATTTCACTCAATAGGGAAACAAATACATATTTATAAATATATATATATAAGAAATCTCCATCCAAGTTGGAGAATCCAAAACCAACAACAGATAAACGAATCAAACAATTATGTATCAAGGCGATAATTCCACATTATCCATATTATCAAACTTGGAAAGGCCATGGCCAATTCTTCAAGTCTTCCTCATCTTGAACCTTAGAATTCTTCATTGCTCGAGAATTAACCCCATCTTTTTGCACATAAGCATAGTAATTCAAGAAGAATGCAAGTGTAAGAACAACCCATTCTAGGCAGAATATCAGTATACACAACCCACCAGCCAATTTCAATATCGTCACACCATCTTCTTCCCTCACATAGGATTTGAGATTTCCAAGAAAATCTTTAGGTCTTGTGTAAATAAGCACAGAAACAGAGCCTTGAAATATTGCTGTAAGCACTGTGGCCACCATGTGGGCTCCATACCACTTCCCGGCACCTCGAGTGGCCGAGGCAGCAGCGCAGCCGGCAATGGCACCGATAATGGTGGTGGCGTGGAGGAGGATCAAGAAGAAGCCGCAGACCGAAGGGATTAGCCGGAGGGAAAGTGTCAAGAAAATGCAACTGGAAGCTGCACCTAAGAGAATGTAATTGCATAAGAGGAAAACCTTGTGAGTGTGGGGGTGTGATTCATTTGAAGAATTCTCTATGTGCAATCCTCCCATTTCTTGCAATTTTCTTGGGAAAATTTGGGATTTGGAAATTGGGTTTTGCTGTTGTGCTACTGAGAATTGGGGAAAAAATGCAGAATTGAAGGCTTATTGGTTTTGTGAAATGAGATGAAGATGATCTGTATATATATATGTATGAAGGATGTGGGGAGCAACGGTCATATTTGAAATTGAAAAGATGACCGTTTAGCGAACAAGCTGATAAAATTGGTGGGTTTAACGGCTAGTAGAATTTCTTATTTTTGGTTTTTCATTTTTATTTATTTATTTTTAACGGGGTAAGTGCATATTTGCTTCAAAAGAAAAATAAGTCCATATATATGAATTAAAATTTAGATTTTAATTTAAATAAAAATTAATAATTAATTTTAACCACAAATTTAATGGAATTCACAACTTTTTAAAACTCTTTTTTCCTGCATATTCATTTTTAACCACACATTCACACAATAAAATATTTTACGTGAAAATACACAAGTTCTCCAAAAGTTCACTATTTAAAACAATATTTTTTGTTTCCAAAAAAGGGCTAAAAAGTTGATTTTAATCCCCCACCAAACATGGGCTACATTTACGTCCCTACTTGGTTTAGAGAAAAACAAACTTCTAGTAAATTTTTTATAAAAACTTCATGAAATGTGTAATAAAAAAGTTGTGAATTCCGTTGTTAAAATTTAATTTAACCAAATAGGGGTGACATGTTATATGTCTCGAAACTCGTATGTATAAGTTGAATTAGACGTGGTTAAATAGAATGATTAACAAAATAGGAGAGTTTTTTTTTAAAATTAAATACAAACTCAAATTTAGAACTGAAAAAGTAATTTATAAAATAGTAAAGTTCAATTTTGTCCTGTTTAAGTGTCATGTACCTAAAGAAAATTATGCTTAGAAGAAATATGTGCCAATACAGGCTTTAAATTTCTCATAAGTAATTAAAAACTCTTTTTCCCGAAATCTCGACAAATATTCTTTCAATCTTACATGGGAAAGAAGAAAATACAACGCAGTAACTACAACAAATTTCTCAATGTACATTTTTATTCTCCAACAGCATTTGAAAAGCAAAAGATACAAATATTTCATTTTATTCGACTGCATATAACAGAATAAGTAAACTCTCCACACGTTGCTCATAATTAACATCCATCCGATAGAAAATAAAAAAATAAAAAAATGGCGCGCATGAAATACTCCATAAACAGAAGAGTACATGACTGACTGCATACAAATTCTTCAATCTTCATCCTAAAATTATTATAAATTGAACCTGGTTGAACCAAACAATACTTAGGCTTGTAAAAAGCTGGCATATTTGGCACCTAGGAAAAGCCTTTGGATGCAGAGCAAAGCATTTTTAGTGACCTCTGCGTTTTCATGGTTCATCAATTTCATCACCCGCTCCTTTGCTTTGAGGTCAGTCACTATGATACGCCCAGTAGGATAGTACTGAATGAACTGCGAGAGATCAAAGCAAGCAACAGCTTGTGTTCGAGGATCACTGGACGTATCCAAGATTGTGATCAGGACCCTTAAAATCTGTACCAAGATAGCGAGTATCAGTTTTGCACAAAAGGGATATGGGCCTTTTCAATTCTACGCACAACATGTCCCAACCACCTAAATCATCATTCCCTTAATTTAGCCTCCATCATACATTTTCATATCATATCTTATCTCCCCTAGTAACCTCATTTCCACGACTAAATATTTTAGGGATATTTTGTCTTTTCCAACACACGGTAGAACGAAGAGTAACATGTCTAATGACAATTTTGTAAAACTGGTATTTTAACATCAGAGTTTCTTATCATGTAGGATTAATGTAGCACCTCTCCATTTTATCCAACCCTCTCTTAATTCAATGCATTACATCCTCTTTAATTCCTGCATTGTTAATGATCGAACCCAAGTACCTAAAACAATCGCTTCTCTTTTTTTTTTTTTGGGGGGGGAGGTGGGGAAGGGGATTATTTTTGGTACCCTTTTCTGGGGCGACTTACACAAGAAGTTTTTTCTACAATTATTTTGGAGGTGGGTACACTTAAGAAAATAATGAGCACTTCTGGGGTCAAGTTAATGAAACAAGAATAGGTAAACTGCGCAACAATCGTCCAGCGACACGGCCAATACCTGGAAATCATTTTCTTCGAAGTTAGTAATATTTTCCCGCCAAAAAACAGGATCTTTGTGCATAGGGGACCAATCAAGATGTCCAAGGAGGACTTCCTGCTTGTACTTGTCGAAAGAACTTAGCCTCTTAATGTTATCTTTCAGTCCTTCTTCCAGTTGATTCAGAGCCTCCAGCAGATCCTACAGAGAACATTCTCACTTTAGCACTTGAAATATCAAGGGTAAGAAGAGGGTTGGGAAGATCATCTAAGCACAAAAGCAATATTGATTTTTATGATGGCTCAGCATAAAGAAGGCACTGAAGATAATCAAGTGAGCTACTACTACTACTACAGCAGTACTTAATTTCAAGTGCAGCCATTATGATTGGATGAATTTGTTTTCGGAGTACTTAATTTCAAGTGCAGCCATTATGAATGGATGAATTTGTTTTAACATATGTTATAAATGTGCCATATTAACATGATAAATTGATCCACCGTCCTTGCCCCACAAAGCCATAAAAAGAACAAAAGCACTGCACCACATTGCTGTTAAGGGATATAATACCACATCTCGATGTGGTATTATATCCCTTAACACGCCCTCGCAAGATGGTGGCTCATTTGAGCAGACCAATCTTGAAATCCACGTGCTCACTTTAATGGAGTCTTACCGAGATCGAATCGCTCGTTGGAGCATAATGGGCTCTGATACCAAGTTAAGAATTGGGGTTCCATCTTAAAAGGTCAACCTTATTAAGAGGAGTAACTCAATATCTTTATTAATTGGTCTGTGTCAACATCTTTATTCGATGTGGGATTATATCCCTTAACAATTGCATCTCAGCGGTTGAGATATCCTTGACAAATCATAAGCAAGGAATAGGCAGACCTTTTCCCACAAAATTGGCACATAATAGACATGATAATTCTCAACGTTAAAGAAGAAAGCATTTATACCTTTGCCAGTGCCTAGTCTAAATGTAAAGGGAGTAAAACTTTGGTAATATTTCTTTATGTAATTTGCATGTGAAAAACGCATCCTTTTTCGAAAACAGCTTTTCCATTTTCCTTATTTTTGACTTCAGAAATAAGCCCTTGTTTAATCCCCATTTTTTTTTCCAAAATACATTTCTTTCTCCTATTTTCAACCACGCATTCTTCAATAACATAATAGCAAATCCAAAAATTTTCCTTTTTTTTTAACGACACGTTCTTCATCAATCTACTATTCCAAAATGTATTCTACACCAAAAATGGGTAACCACACATTCTCCATCAATCAATTATTCTAAAATCTATTCTACACCAAAAATGGGGCTCAAACAAGCTCTAAATAAGAAACCAATTAAATAGTTAGAAACTATAGAGAGAGATTTCTCTCACCTCATCACTCCATGCCTGTGCTTTCAAACTCTGGACAAGCTGAGGCAGTCCCAGATCTATCATCAGAGCACCAAATGTCCCCTTTTGAAGCAAGTTCCTAAGAGTCAACACAACTACCCTGACAACCTAATAGCAAAGATGGGATAGATGTTACATACTGAGGTGAAATATGTAAGGTGAATAGAACACAATATTATTCATAATTTGATAGTGAGAATTTTTCAGACAGCTGTTAAATAGAAAAAAAATCTGTCTGCAGAAAGTTCTAGGAATAAGAAGCTGAAATTGAGCAGATGCTACAGATAAAAAACAATCTGAAGAATCAAAAGGCTAAACAAGAATATATTAAACCAATAACATGGTTGATCTCAGCATAAATTACCGACAGGAACTCACCTTTTCTTTTGTGGAACCCTTAACAATTTCAATCAAACGTGGCAGGGTTCTAGAAGTGCCCAAGTACTCAATTGCAGGTTCATAATAAGACAAAAGCCATACACATAGACATGTTTCGTAGAGGAGCTGTTTCAAGAATAAATTAAATTTCAGACATGTCAAAATTTGAAGTACTGATACAGAGATCAGATATTACGTTAGTTTTAAGAATTCCAACTTTACATAACTCCCGGATGAGATTGAGAACCCATCCACCGACCAATATCTACGACTCAGGTAATTTAGGTATAGAGGTTAGGTGCTTTTGCTTGTACTCGACGATATCGTTACCTGCATGGACTGTTGAGTGGATGCTGGAGAAATTAGAGGAACTAGAAGCTTCACTCCATCTGCTTGAACAAACGAAGATCGCACTACTGGCTCTTTAAGCAGAGTGGCAAGACAATTTATTGCTGTTGGAATGCCACGGCTAGGATGAGAAGGCTTCTTCAGCTGTATACATAGACAAGTTGACGCAAGACGTATTAATTTGACAACGAGCAAGAAAAGAAAGGGGATCAAAGAAGAGAAGAATTGAGGGGAAATAAGAAATCAAATTTTATTCATATATTCAAGGGTGTCTATTACAATGAATAAGCCCTCTATGGAGAGAGAATAAACTAAAATCAAACGAAATTCTAACTAAACTAGAATCTCATCAAACTATTGTAACTAATCTAATCCAATCAAAGTAAATTTTAAATCAAACTCCAGTGTAAAATCCTACGTAAAATCTAACTCTAACTCTATCTTTATTCTTATCTTTATCTCCATCACTAGTATAAGGACAGGGATGTTTGCTATATCACGCAAAAGTAGATCTAACAATATTTTTCCTGCATAAGCCAGTGAAAGAAAAAAACTTAATGCATATTTCACCAAACTTACGACAAACTGAGATTTTGGTATGAGTTAGTCTCCAATAATTAAATTTCATCGAGGTTTGACCTTTTCAGTTGAGACTTTTACTTGTGTATCCAATTTATAAATAGAATAAAGTGTAAAACACGAAAAATTTAATCCTAACAGAAACTTAAAAATTAAAAATAGCGTGTACTT